CAAATGTGCACACAAAGATAAAATAGTTGTTCTATAAACTGTATTTAATTCAAAGCACATCTTCCTTACATTGGTATTAGGCCTTCCTATTGAAATACTCCACATTGCAGGAATATTATTAGTATAGTAGTCTTACTACAGCACAGTATAGATCAAATGTACAAGTGTTAGCCTTTTATGCCAACGTCATGAATTGGAAAAAATCAGTTGTTCTATGTACACACAAAAATGCTGGCAAATACAGAAAGCTGTACATTTTATATAATGGAAATTAGCCTTCAAAGTCAGTGGTGGCAATCTCCACTCCAAATCAAAGCATTCACATGCCATACAACAGTGAGCATAACGAGTGCAAGGCAAGCCTGGGGGATGCTGTATATATTTCCAATGGTTGTTTTAATACTAAATATATTATTGGCATCTTGATAACTTACAGACTTAAACTAGAAAGTCCCAACTAGATTATGTTTCTTTTTGTTAAATCACTTAAGTGTTAGTAAAGGCTAACTATAATCCATTGTTAAAAACGTCCCTCCTACCTATCCTGTATAAAAAAAGATGTGTACTTAACTTTTATTTTAGCTGCTTCCCATCCACCCACAGCCTATAAACAGCGGACGGGAAGCAGTGCCAGTGTGGGTTAAGGTACCTGTACTTCAGCCCGCATCGGCGGCTCCTGTGCAGCTCACGGAGTGCACCCCCAGGAGCCTGGCGATCCGTGTGTCCTCTGGAAACAGCAGATCACATTACTGCTGTGTCCAGGTGATCACATGGTGATTTACCATGTGACTGCTGTGTCCAATCACAGCAATCACATTGTAAACATGCCAAGCCGAAAGTAAACATCGGTTCTCTCTGCTCTCACACAGATCAACTGTGAGAGCAGAAAGAACTGATGCTGCAGTCTGTGAGCGTACAGCAGGCTGTTATTGTTGTAATAATAAACAATGCAGCCTGCACCTGTCACCTCTCCCAATGTCACCAGTACTCCCAATAATACTGCCATACACCATACCAATGTCCTGATTATCGCCATACCCCATACCAGAGTCATGATCACCGCCAGATGCCATACCAGCTCCCTGATCACTACCATACACCATACCAGCTCCCTGATCACTGCCATACCTGCATCCTGATCGCCGCCATATCCACATTCTGATCAACCTATATGCTATTCCAGCATCCTGATCACCACCATACATCATACCAATATCCTGGTCACTACCATACCCCATACCAGTGCCCAGCATTTTAGGGTCTCAGCTGATAGATTTTCAAATATATATCCCAGTTTGTAGACTCTGTAACTTTCACACAGACTAAATAATATACACTGTTTTGGGTTATTTTTACCCAAATGTAGCAGAATACATTTTGACCTAAATTTATGAAGAAAAATTATTTATTTGAAAACTTGTATAACAAAAACTAAGCAAAAAATATATTTTTTTTTCAAACATTTTTGGTGTTTTTGTCATTTATATAGCAAAAAATAAAAAAACCAGTGATGATTAAATATCACCAAAAGAAAACTCTGTACCCATGTGAAATTTTTATAATTTTTTTTTAGACAGTGTTGCATAACTGAGTAATTGTTACTCAAAGTGTGGCAGCGCTAAAAGCTGAAAATTGGCCTGGCCTGGACTGGAAGGTGGTGAAAGTGTCTGGATTTGAAGTGGTTGATCTGTCCAGTCATGTGATTCAATGGCTCCATATCACCTGTGTGCAGGAGTGTTCAACAATGGTTGTAAATTCCCACAGCAGTGATGTCCCAACAACGCTCCCTCCTCTCCCTTGCAGCAGCTGCTCACTGACACGGGGCAGCTAGGAGCTGCAGGATCACATGACTGAATTGAACAAAAAAAAAAAAGCTTTTTCTTTTTTTATATATACAGGATAGGTTGGAGGAGGGTAAGGGGATGTTTTTTAAGAATAGTTAGTGTTAGCCTTACTGTCCTCTTTAAAGTAGGGCAATAAGCAATTGCCAAGGTTTTTTTTTTTTTTTTCCTGCTTCCACTTTTTTTGCATCTCAGTGCATCTGATCTCTGTCTTCTTTCAGCCACTTCTTGTCTACATGCACTCAATCCAGCGTAAGCTGCATATCATTGCATGATCAGCTTCCTGATGGTGACAACTGTGGACCATGTCTGGCCATGTCATGTATGTCAGCATAGCTAACTGTAGTCTCTTTCAGGATGCATGTAACATGGTGACAATGCAGGAGCACAATTGGAAGACAGTTTTGTTACTTCATAACAGGAAGTGCCTTCATGGCAGGATCACCAAGTATTATTTTAATAAAAGCTGCATAATTAAAATCATTGGAAACAACTTTTGACATAACATATATGTTTTAACATGTTAGATCTTATATGGGATCTTATTGATATGGTTCAGATCTACTTATGGAGAGGAAATATAACCACAACATTGTGGGGTATTTAAAGTGAGCTTGGTTTCACTTTGCAAAGTGAATACACACTTTACTAGTTGAACAGTCTATATCTCTTTGGCCCCATTATATCATACTATGATGGAACACTATTAGGGGGGTTAACCATAGATATAAATCATTTTGTGCAGCAACATACAGAGGTTAGACAAAAAATTGGACACACTACATGATTTGCAGGTGTGAAAGTGACGACGTGTTTCACATGGAAAGTGGAAGTAATGCTTTTGCTTCCGCTGTGTGATGAGACACCTAGATAACAGGTGGGAAGCCTCACTTTTGTCATTCACTGCGAGCGCTGCTAGTAATACGGAAGTCATGTCAGAGTCTTCATGGGACTGAGATTTAGCTCTGCAGTCACTTTTGCAGGAGTTGTTTTCTTATTCCAGGTGACAATGCTGCACAATGTCCTTTTGTCTCTTTCGGTCAGTTGACCTTGATGACCGTTCTTATGCTTTTCAGACATTTTCCCGGAAACCGTATATATGCCGTCATAACCTTTGATACAGTACCTCACGACTTCGCAAATAAATTGGCAACTTCAGTCACAGAGGCACCAGCTAAACGGCCACCACCAATTAGCCTTCTTTGAAGCTCCATAAGCTCTGACATGATTCCATATTACTAGCAGCGCACGTAGTGAATGACGAAAGTGAGGCTTCCCACCTGTTAGCTAGGTGTCTCATCATACAGTGAATGCAAAAGAATGTTACATCACTTCCACTTTCAAGGTGAAACATGTCGTCGCTTTCACACCTGCAAATCATGTAGTGTTTCCGTTTTTTTGTTTAACTTCTGTAATTATGGCTGCTTATATGAACTGTCAGAGATGGTATGGCTCCTGGCAAATTGTGGCTCCATTACCAGTCATGGGTGCTTCGTCACAGCAGAGTTCATCTTTTTTCCTGTCATCCAACAATGCAAACAGACAGCAACACCAAGCATTCCTCTGTCTTTTTGAATCACTAAGCTTTATTGTTTACTCAGCAAGTCTTGTTAGCCTATGCCCCTGCAGACGCATTTATTAAATGAGGCTTGGTTATAGAGGACACAGGGTCTCCTCCATGCCTAAGCCCCAGTTTGGAAGAATTGCTATACTCGGGGAACCACAAGGAACCATAAAACCTATTGATTCAGTGTGTTGAGGTAGGTTTGTATTGTTTTTGGATGGCTACTTTGTTTGAAAAGTGGCAAAATCTTGTGGAAAAATAAGTAGAGTATGTCATCTTCTAATACTATGGCAAGTCTGTTAACATTTGAGTATAGGTCCACATTAAAAGCCAAACTCCTCATGGTTTTTGTGTCCGTCAGCAAAACTTGCAACTGTTAGAAAACCTGAACAGTTATCAAATTTCTCAGTAATATTAGACATTAAAAGTAATCCCCAGATACCGCCAACAGGGCCTGTAAGTTTTTGCCAAATCAGATATAAAAATGCATATTTTTTAATGGTTTGTTTCCTGTAACAGAAATTTTGCCATCAGTCAAAGGACCTGGAACTGTTGGATATTTCACACTGCTTGCAAGTAACCAACAACACAGTAAAAACAGTGGCATTCTGTTGCAAGATGCTTACATCCATCAATGTGGCCGGATGTCCAAAGGTACATGTGCATCACTCATATTTCCCAAGGAAGAACAGAAGTAATGTCAGGTTTTTCCATATGAAGTATATGTGAATACACTGCATGACTATTGTTTGTGGTCAGAGACCAATACAAAGTTGTAGGTTTTTTTTATGATTTAATTAAAAGCTTTTTCTATACCATTTCCTTCTATAGCCTAATGTCAGTATAGGGACCCAGTAACAACCAAGAAAACAAGCTCTATAGGATTACACAGAATGTAGACCAACCTTTTTACCCCAGAGAAACCCCTAAAAATTCTCAGGTTTCAGAAAAACCCTTAATAAAATCAATTCACGGGGGGTGAATGGCAAAAATGTCCCCTGTATTAGTGGTGAGTAGGAAGAATGCCACCATTACAGATAGCTAAAAAGCTAACGGCTATGTCAAGTAGTATTTAACCCAAAATTATCGAGACACCACCATCAGGTGGCAGTTCAACCAGTCACAGCTTAGGGAATTCCTAGCAAGCTCGGTAGGAACACCAGGATTCCATGGAAGAATGGCTGGCATAGATCATAGTCACACAGTGAAATGAATTTTAACCGATTTTGCTGAATGCATTTTTTTGGGGCTCAGGAGTGTTCTACACTAATCTGTAAAATATGGCACCAATTCACGATTCTTCCTTTATGCAGATAACAGATATTAGCATCCAGTATCTTTCTGGTGGTTTTGCCGTTACCTTCATATTGTGGATATATCTGGCTGTGTCCATCTCAGTGACAAGGCCCTGAAATATTTCCAGAAAGGCTGCCGACAACTTCGGACTCTAAGAATGCTTTACTGCAGGAGTATTTCAAAGTAAGTTATTCAGTTAACTATACCAGAATACACTATATTGCCAAATGTATTGGGACACCCCTCCAAATCATTGGATTCAGGTGTTCCAATCACCTCCATGGCCACAGGTGTATAAAATCAAGCACCTAGGCATGCAGACTGCTTCTACAAACATTTTTGAAAGAATGGGTCACTTTCAGGAGCTCAGTAAAATCAAGCGTGGTACAGTGATAGGTTGCCACCTGTGCAACAAGTCAATCCATGAAATTTCCTTGCTATTAAATATTCCACGGTCAACTGTTAGTGGTATTATACCAAAATGGAAGCAACTGGGAACAACAGCAACTCAGCCACGGAGTGGTGGGCAACGAAAAAATGACAGAGCGGGGTCAGAGCATAGCGCACAGAAGTCACCAACTGTCTGCGGAGTCAATAGGTAAAGACCTCCAAATTTTGTGCAGCCTTCAGATTAGCACAACAGTGCATAGAGAGCTTCATGGACTGGGTTTCCATGGCCAAGCAGCTGCATCCAAGCCTTACATCACCAAGTGCAATGCGAAGTGTTGGATGCTGCTGGACTCTAGAGCAGGGGAGACGTGTTCCCTGGAGTGACGAATCACTCTTCTCTGGCAATCCAATTGACGTGTCTGGGTTTAGCAGTTGCCAGGAGAATGGTACTTGCCTGACTGCATTGTGCCAAGTGTAAAGTTTGGTGGAGGGGGGATAATGGTGTGGGGTTGTTGTTCAGGGGTTGGGCTTGGCCCCTTGGTTCCAAGAAAGGGAACTCTTAAGGTGTCAGCATACCAAGACATTTGGACAATTTCGTGCTCCCAGCTTTGTGGGAACAGTTTGGGAAAGGCCCCTTCCTGTTCCAACATGACTGCACACCAGTGCACAAAGCAAGGTCCATAAAGACATGGATGAGAGGGTTTGGGGTGGAGGAACTTGACTGTCCTGACCTCAACCCTATAGAACAGCTTTGGGATGAATTAGAGCGGAGACTGCGAGCCAGGCCTTCCTGTCCAACATCAGTGCCTGACCTCACAAATGCGCTTCTGAAAGAATGGTCAAAGATTCCCAGAGACACACTTCTAAACCTTGTGGACAGCCTTCCCTGAAGAGATGAAGCAGTTATAGCTGCAAAGGGTGAGCCAACTCAATATTAAACCCTATGGAGAAAGACTAGGATGCCATTAAAGTTCATGTGCGTATAAAGGCAGGTGTCCCAATACATTTGGCAATATTTGGAATATGGATTTTTTTTTTTCTTTTTACAAATATACCGTATTTTTCGCTACATAAGATGCACTTTTTTCCCCCCAAAAAAGGGGGGAAAATGTCAGTGCGTCTTATGGAGCGAATATGGAGTGGCCGGTCCGGTATTTCCACCGCGGCCGTGTCAGAATACTGGGCCGGCCGCTCAGCTCTGCAGCGGGACATTATGGAGATGACTGCTGACCTTTGGGGAGGTGGGGAGCGGGTACCTGAATTTGACAGGTACCCGCTCTTACTTCTTTGTTCTTTGATCTTACCTGTTCCTCTATCCAGCGGCGCGCTGTCTTCCGGCTTCTGTAGTGTGGGCACTGGGCATGACAGCCGGGTGCCAAGTGCGCATGCGCAAGAAGCGGTGCTTTTTTTGTGAATGGTAAGGCGGTACCTGGGACACATGACAGATCCCAGAAGCCGCCGGACCAATCACAAAGCGCAAGTGCTTCTCGCTCATGCGCACTGGGCATCCGGCTGTCATACCGAGCGCCATTACAGAAGCCGGGAAGACAGCGCGCGGCTGGATCGAGGAACAGGTAAGATCAAACAAAAACTCTGCGGAAGTAAGAGCGGGTACCTGTCAAATTCAGGTACCCGCTCCCCACCTCCCCAAAGGTCAGCAGTCATCTGTACTGTCCACAGTCTCTGGTCATCCCTGTGCTGTCCGCAGTCTCTGGTCATCCCTGTGCTGTCTGCAGTCTCTGGTCATCTCCTGTACTGTGTCTGCAGTCCATTAGTTCAGGAAATTTTTTTTCCCCTGTTTTCTGCCTCTAAAACCTAGGTGCGTCTTATGGTCAGGTGGCTTATGGGGCGAAAAATACGGTACATCTTTTTCAAAAAATACTTGTGAAAATATACAAATACATCCAGTGCCTTGAAAAAGTATTCATACCCCTTGAAATTTTCCACATTTTGTCATGTTACAACCAAAAAAACGTAAATGCATTTTATTTGGATTTTATGTGATAGACCAAACACAAAGTGAAACATAATTGTGAAGTGGAAAGAAAATAATTTATTTACAATATGTGAAAAGTGTGGTGTGCATTTGTATTCAGCCCCCTGAGTCAATACTTTGCAGAACCACCTTTCGCTGAAATTACTGCTGCAAGTCTTTTTTGGGTATGTCTCTACCAGCTTTGCACATCTAGAGAGTGAAATTTGTGCCCATTCTTCTTTGAAAAATAGCTCAAGCTCTATCAGAGTGGATGAAGAGTGTCTGAACAGTAATGTTCAAGTCTTGCCACAGATTCTCAATTGGATTTAGGTCTGGACTTTGAGTGGGCCATTCTAACACATGAATATGCTTTGACCTAAACCATTCCATTGTAGCTCTAGCTGTATGTTTAGGGTTGTTGACCTGCCGGAAGGTGAACCTCCGCCCCAGTTTCAAGTCTTTTGCAGACTCTAACAGGTTTTCTTCTACAATTTTCCTGTATTTGGCTCCATCAATCTTCCTATCAACTCTGACCAGCTTTCCTATCCCTGCTGAAGAAAAGCATCCCCATACCATGATGCTGCCACCACCATTTTACATGGTGGGGCTGGTGTGTTCAGGGTGATGTGCAGTGCTTGTTTTCCATCACACATAGCATTTTGCTTTTAGTCCAAAGAGTTCCATTTTGGTCTCATTTGACCAGAGCACCTTCTTCCACATGTTTGCTGTGTCCCCTACATGGCTTCTCGCAAACTGCAAACAGGACTTCTTATGGCTTTCTTCTTGTACTCATTCATAAAGGCAGATATGTGGAGTGCATGACTAATAGTTGTCCTGTGGACATATTCTCCCACCTGAGCTGTGGATCTCTGCAACTCCTCCAGAATTACCATGGGCCTCTTGACTGCCTCTCTGATGAATGCTCTCCTTGCCCGGCCTGTAAGTTTAGGTGGACAGCCATCTCTTGGTAGGTTTGCAGTTGTGCCATACTCTTTCAATTTTCAGATGACGGATTGAACAGTGCACCATGAGATCTTAAAAGCTTGGGATATTTTTTTTTTTTTTTTTATAACCTAACCCTGCTTTAAACGTCTCCACACTTTATCCCTGACCTGTTTGGTGTGTTCCTTAGCTTTCATGATGCTGTTTGTTCACTAATGTTCTCTAACAAACCTCTGATGGCTTCACAGAACAGTTGTCTTTATACTGAGATTAATTTACACACAGGTGGACTCTATTTACTAACTAGGTATCCTCTGAAGGCAATTGGTTCCACTTTGGTTTTAGTGCGGGGTATCAGAATAAAGGGGCTGAATACTAATGCACGCCACACTTTTCAGATATTTGTAAAAAAAATTTGAAAAACCATTTATCATTTTCCTTCCACTTCACAATTATGCTCCTAGATTGTAAGCTCGAAAGAGTAGGGCCCTCTAACTCCTCGTGTGCTGTTTGTTGTTGCTGTACTGTTTCATGTATTGTCCCCCCCCCCCCTCTATTGTACAGCGCTGAGCAAACCCTTTGGTGCTATATAAACTCGATATAATAATAATAATGTGCCACTTTGTGTTGGTCTATCACATAAAATCCCAATAAAAATACAGTTACGGTTTTGGTTGTAACATGACAATGTGGAAAATTTCAAGAGGTATGAATACTTTTCCAAGGCACTGTATGTAAATTAATCCAGAACTCTGACTTGACCAGCAGGTTGTGCCACTGGTGAAACTAAAGTGAAAAATTCAGTAACCTGTAACAACTAATGAGATTTTAGTTTGCTTTTGTCGCCAAAAGTTGATGGCCGAAGCAATAGATTTATGAAAGCCTTCGAACAATCTCTAAGCAACAACAAATTCACACTTTTACATTATGTCACAATGGCTGCGGCAGGGCACCAGTGGCAGACCTGCCAATTCTGGTGTTCAATGGCAAATGTCAATCAAGCTCCATGGTGCTGTGCTGGGCAGTGAGCACAGGGCCCACTAGAGGAAGTCAGGCCCTCAGACCACCCTCCTGAAGTATGTTTCTGATTGTTTGGTCAGGGACAATCACTCCCATGGCCTGCTGGAGGTTATTTTGTAGGGCTTTAGCAGTGCTCATCCTGTCCCTCCTTGCACAAAGGAGCAGATACCGACCCTGCTGATGGGTTAAGGACCTTCTATGGCCCTGTCCAGTTCTTCTAGAGTAACTGCCTGTCTCCTGGAATCTCCTCCATGCTCTTTAGATCCTGGAGGAGATAGACTCCCTGTGAAACCTCTGAGGGTCCAGGTATTGCCTCATGCTACCAGTAGTAACCCTGACCCTAGCCAAATGCAAAACTAGTGAAAAACAGTCAGAAAAGAGGAGTAGGGAAAAAAAAATGTCAAAGGCCTCCACCTGTAAAACCATTCCTCTTTTGATTGGTTGTCTCATTGTTGCCCATCTAGTTCACGTGTTAATTTCATTAACACCAAAGCAGCTGAAACTGATTAACAACCCCCTCTGCTACTTAACTGACTAGATAAATATCCCAGGATTTTAATTGACTTGATGCTATGCTCTGATTAAAAAGTGTTCATTTAATTTTTTTGAGCAGTATATATTGTGCAGTGTTGGATTTCCATGATCTGAGGAGGGCTGCACCACCATCTCTTTCCAGTCTAGGTTGCTGAATGTCTTTGAGATTTATGGCTCACGTGTTGGGTGCCTCAACCATTTCTGAGCACTGAAGTATCAAGTTTGCATATTTCCTTTTTTTCCTCTACACATGAAACAATGAATAAGGTGAACTGATTTTGCCTTAAAAAAGAAAACACCCAGAAATCCATGCACCTATGCAACAGTAGAAATTATCCAGCAGTCCTTTGTGGTCAGCGGTAAGGCTATGCGTGGATCCAGAACTCTGTTCTCCTCATCTAGAGATCACAGTAGATCCCCGGAAAGGAGCTGACACCTTCTGAGTAAGCTCTAACAGCTTGACAAAAAAGGAGGACAAAACCAAAATTTGTTGCCGTGGTTACCCTTTAACCCAGGAGTGTTGTCCAGGAGCCACATGGATGTCCCCTCTCCTTTCAGTGGGCTTGCTGTGACTGTAATATCACGTACTGGGTACAAAACCAGCTGTGTGTGGCAGCCATGTTGTTCAAGTCCCAGGTCAACCAAGTCATTTTATCAGAGTATAAGACAGATCAGCAGTGACCTTCCCTTCCTGTCAGGACATGGACATTAGTGTATACAATCAACATTTAGCTGCATTCTAAACCCCCTTATCAGTACTTGGATAGGATTAGCAGAATCTAACCCCAATACACGTCTCAATGCCCTCATAAAACCATCAGACTTGCAAACTTGAGTTATCGGGAAAGCAAGCTGATGTCCTTTCTTCTAATTTCTCGTCATAAATACTGCAGCTGGACTTATTAATGAGTACACATTTCTGCCTACCTCATTCTGAAGATCCAAAAACTTCAGTGTATTTCATAGCTAATGAGGTAATAACAGTACAACCAGAATAAGGACATATTTACCTCTAGAAGTTAATTAGCAGCATTTTGAGCCCAAAGCACCCCTATGCTAGGAGGTACCAGAGTGGACTAGGCCCCCACACCCCTCCTAGGGGGAACAGATATCTGACACAGAGGGCAGTGGGCTGATATCGCATTTGCCACAGTGACCACTCATCAGGTGTGCAAACAGCGCTAACTAGCTAATTTGTAGCTGGTTCATATGAACACCAACTTGTATTTGTGAGAACAGAATGTAACATATGCAATATTATTTTACAGGGCTGTTGTTCTGAAGATTGAATCAAAGTATCAAAATGTTGAGTATAGTTCAGATGATCCTCCACCCTGGTTTGGCTATGATCGTCATGGTAACCTGTTCAATGGCATGTCACATCTGGAGGAAACAGATATGATTGATGAATCAATGGATGTATAAATCATCTTCAGTGGACTCATGGCATTTTCTGAATATGTAATAAGAACATTAATGAATATTTGTCAATTTAACAAGTACCTTATTTGTTGTAATATTGTTTCTGAGTGCAACTCTCATACTGTTGGGAAAGGAGTACGCCTAATATTCTGTACGCCCATTTCATCATCCGCGTCCTTGGAGCAGCATTAAAGCATTATTTAGTGGCAAACCTTTTAGAAAACCCATGGAATCATTATGTATGAAATATGGAATCCTTAGAAGCCAAAGAATTAAAAGACATTTACAGCTGATATAAACATCTAGTTGTAAACTTTGAAAATTATAAAGAATGCATTAAAAAAAAAGTTTGGACACCCCTGTACAAATGCCAGTTTTTTTTTTAGATGTAACAAAATCAGACAAATCACTTCAGAATTTTTTTCCACCTTTAATGTAACCTACTGTATAATATGTACAATTCAAACAAAAAGTGAAATCTTTAAAGGGGGGTTGAATTAAAAAATAAAAAAAATTACAATAACATGGTTGCTTAATTATGCACACCCTTAAACTAATACTTTGTTGAAACACCATTTGATTTTATCACAGCATTCAGTCTTTTGGGGTAGAAGTCTATCAGCATGGCACATCCTGGCTTGGGAATCATTGCCCACTCTTCCTTGCAAAATGCTCCAAATTTGTCAGCATTA